AATTTTATAAATTTTATAGCAGATTTATAGGTGTAATTTGGTAGAATCATAAATATATTTGTACTGAATCTATATTGTGTATTTTAAGCTCAATTAGGTAGTGAAACTAAATATAAGTGAGGTTCAAGTAAGCTACGGTCTTAGAAATTTTAAAAATAAAATATTATAGTTGAAATTTTTCTTTGAGATTCGAAAAGAAAGATGGCAAATATCCAAGTAGATGGCAATTATTTGTTTTCCTAATTTGTAGCTTAGAACCACTTTATACTTTATGTACTTGTTTTCAACAACTTATTTCTTATGATTTTTTAAAGTTTTTTTGTAATTTTTACAGTATTTTTTTTATTTATTAAAGAATTCTTTTTATTTCTCTAAAGTTTAAATTAGATTTTTTTAAAGACTATTTTAATTTTATTTAAAATTCAATATATTCAAGTAAGGTTTTTTAGATTGTATAAGATTACTAAGGTATTTCTAAATACCTTATGTATTGAATTTTTTAGATTGTAAATCCAACTTTAAAGTAAGAACAAACCTTTTTACAACTAGATATTTAATACATTCCTATATTAATTTTTACATAACACAAAAATTTCTTTCTTACATATCTAATTCAAACTAGCTTCTAATATGATTAAATCATTGAAAAATGTGCAACTTAAGCTACAATTTTAGATTCAATATTCTGATCTTTATTCACCTTCTTCTTCCTTCAAAACATGGAATACCACCTAGTAGAATCCAAATCCGACCTCAGACCAAAGACTTGCCAAACTCAAATACAAGCTGCCATTGTTGTAGATATTTGATTCTTCTTTGAATAAAGTGAACTCTTTAATTTTCAAATTAATTTATTTCTAGACTTAAATAGAAGCTTCTTCTTATTATTTATATTTTTTAATTATAATTTTTTAACTTCTACAATCTTTTTTGTAAATTCTTCTTTCTCAATATGTTTTAGGTATTCGACAAAGTGATGTCTTTAACAACTTTTTCTCTTAATTTATGCAATTCCGTACAATTTGAATACGTCTAAAATAACAACCTCTTGTTTAAAACTATTGAATTATCCAATAAGAGCTATTTTGACATCCTCCATTAAAAGCTCCTTTAAAAGTTCAATCTTGGACAAAATCCATATTGCAAATAGATCATATTCATGAATCCTAGTTGCACAAAATACTTATTAGATATACAACATGCAATACCAAAGAACCTTTTTCATATTCTTTCTTTTGAAATAAATTTTTGTGAATATTTCTTAGTAGTCTTGATGATGCTTTTTCCACCACTTTCTACTTGCACAATCATAGTAGCAAGGATCCATATTATTATCAATGCTTAACATATGTTTATTTCACTATTGCTAAAGATATGTCGTATAGGAAAATTACATCTATTCAAAACTACCAAGCAAGTTCGCAATTGGAAATCATTACATATCACTTTCTTATCTATTAGATTTTTGTAAATAAAGTTGTACATATCTCTTGTCAATAAGCATTGATGCAAATAAATGTTTTTTAATTTAACCACATATGGCTACTACTAATCTTCCATCAAATATAGCCATTATTGAAAAATAAAATTAATTGACTATTATAAAATCTATTATAAGGAAGCTCAAATTACAAGATGCTATTATTTATATATTAATATTTGTCTTATATTAAAAAATATTTTGGCATGCTTTGCTCCCTCAATTTTATAACAATCTCCATGGAGAATTCTAAAGAAAAGGAAAAATTAAATAAAGGGAGAGTTATTTTATTCAATTTTCATATTAATATTGTTATGTTGTATAACAAGTATTTTCTATAATAAAATTAGAGTCCTTTGTGTGATCTCCACTATATATAGCTTCAACTTTGAAGTAAATTACTTACATCTTTTTCTCTTGTTTATTAGATTATATATAGTTTGATCTATGCAAATTAGTAGTAAGTTCTAATATCCCAATAATACCATTCTAAAGCTCTATCCCTTTTCAATTGACAACTCCAATTCCTTCAATAGATATAATAACGTGAGAGTACTAAGATTTGTTTTTTTTTTTTTTTCCACAAAAAAAATCAACTCAATCAAAACAACATTTAAATACAAGTTGCAACTAATATGACTACCTCAAGACAACCCTCCACAATATTGCAGCAAATATACAAATACTTGTTTAATGTTAGTATATTCACAAATCCACCTATATGTAACTTTACAAGTAATACAACTTCCACCTTAATTTTTCTCACAAGAAATACCAACATTGTTTAGTCTTAACACACTTGCACTCAAATCCATCTACACCAATAACAGTTTTTTTTTTAAAAATAATCATCTTCTATAAAATCTTATTATGATCCATATCTCCTACATTGCGCACTCCAACTTGTGGCTTCCATCTCCAAAAGCATGACTTCCTCTCAACTTCTTTTGGTGATAGCCAAAGCTTGCCATTAAAGATTCATCATATTTGGTCTCACATTCATGTAGTATCTAACATCTTTGAGATGCAATGGAGAACATGTATGCTATATTGGTGATCCTTCTTGTCTTTTTCTCCTTTCATCCCCCTCTCTCCACTCCCTCCTATATAGGTTTGACTAAGATATGTTGTGAATATGTTCTTCTTAAGACTTATTCTATCTTTTTTATGGTACTAATTGAGTTTTAAAGATCTCATTGAAATTGTAGTAATAAGCATACTTCACACATTAATCCAAAGTGAGTAGTGTCTAGTCTTAGAGTCATAATTGAGCCATTGCTTTTTGAATTGTTTCAACCATATTTCAAGCTAACTCACCTAATAGAATCCTTTCTATAGTAACAGTAGTATGTGATTCTTATATGGATTATATCTAAGTTGCATCCACATAGTTTTTGGAGCAATTGTATTCTAAGAAGCACATTCAAACTTTTGTAATTGTAAAATTTAACCTATTGCAAGCATATCCTATCTAAATTATATGTTGGCTTAATTAGGTATATATAATTACAATATATATATATATATATATATATATATATATATATATATATATATATTGTAATAATTGGTATCAAATAGAAGTAACAAAATAATAATAATAATATAATTTGGTAGAATTGTGATGGCAATGTATTATAAAATTTAGTCTAAATGAATAAATCTATATATGAAAAATAAGATTGTATTAAAAGAAGTTTAATTTTTATAGAAAAAAAAAAGATAATGTAGTTGCAACAACAAGAAATATAAATAACAAATTAATATAGAAAAAGAGCTTCAAGAATTGCATAAATTAAAAACTTGGTTTAATTATCCATAGTAAGATATCTTTATACATAATAGTTGATTTTTTTGTAATAAAAATAATTTTTGAAATTATAGAAATATAGTATTATAAGCAAAAATATTATTTAAAAGTTTAAATTTTATAGTATTTTAAAATAAATACTTATTAAAGAAATACTATATTAAAAAGATATATATTAAAAATAATGGTAATAATGATATATATATATATATATATATATATATATATTAGATATTTTATAATAAAAAATATGATAATACTTTGAATATTTTTTAAAATAATTTCTAGGCTTTTGATTTCAAAAAAAGACTTTGGTTTGGTTATTATTGTTGATACAATCTTTCAAGCTAACTATCACATAAAATAATACTCAATAGCTATCTATTCATTAAGATTTTATAATCTATCATCTCTTTTTTATGTATAAAAAATAACTAATGTTTAGTCTTTATGGGCGAAACATTAGTTTGTCGGCAAAAACATATCTTTCACAAATCATAGTACTCTAACATTTTTGTCTTTTGTGGGCAAAAACAAAAAAAATAATTAATGGAAGTATAATTTAATGAATATTATAAACCTTATATATTGAATAGAGATCACATTATTAACATACTATAGTAGGCACAAAAATCTAAGTTTAAATTTGCAATGAATGTATTATGTATGTTTATATGTGCTTATATATAGATATATCTAACATAATACAATAAAAAAAAAACTAAAATAATTTTGTACTACATGAAAACGACTATAAATGTGGATTTGAGTCTTAAAAGAAAACACATCACATTGATGAGAACCTTAGATGCGCATTATTCCAGAGACAATGATAGTCAAGTGCAAATTTGGAAGTGTGAGTTTTAGTTTAAAATACTTGCAAGTTGTCTCGTGAATCAACAAGTGCCACCGAATGATTATTCGCTCTGCAATAAAATATATATAGAGTGTACACCAATGAGCTAATGCATGAGGAACCAATAAACCGTAAAAGAAAACGAAAACAAACGTGACATATACAGTTTAATACCCATCACATACAACCAAGGTTCTGGTTTACTTGCCACACAACCAACAGTCCATTATAACAGGAATTCTTACTGTGGAATCACACTGACGTGCAAACTTGCGAAACCATTTCTTTCATGAAAATTGAGAAAAAGAGTGAAGGGTGTGTGCGAAAACACGAATTTTTGTTTCTCCCTCAGGGCTTCAACACATTGGATCCAAGTGCCAGAGCACACTGGTTACATAATCACATGAAGAGCTCACGGAGGTGTTTCATAGCGACATACCATGTCTGTCAATGCAGGGAAGTTGCGACAGGGAGCAGCTTGCACATGCCTCTGCCTCTATCTGCGTGGACATCGGTAGATAAGATGGCGAGCGCTTCAATGCACAGGTTTCACGCGGAATGAGCAGTTGCAGTTGGACAGTGAACGTTTTCTTCCCTCGTAACCTAGTTCAGTCTTGGAGGGAGAGTGTCCGATCAGCTGTGACTACTCCATCACACGTTCCACAGTGCAGAATGGTTCTGTGGCTTGTGAGTAGTTGTCTTATTAAATAGCGTTCGGTTCACAGCATTTTCTGCATAATGCATATCAGGAATCTGTGGCGTACTACAGAGGTGACGAACCTCAATCAGACAGATAGTGCGTGTCACAGCGTCAGCAGGATAGTAACGTATTTAAATAATTTAGGTTGTCGAAGTAGAAACAAAAATATTTGCCACAATCTTCTGGGATGTGGTAATAGAATATTGGGTGTATGAGCACACAAACATATCGGCAATTAGGATGAATTCTTCTCGTCGCTCGGCAGTGAAGAATCCAAGCTCGTTTTGAACAACCCGTTCTTCATGTTATGAGGGATGGAACCGAAACGATAGTGCAGGAAGAGAGGAATACAAATCTTGTACACATCAATCCCTGCATAGTTTTTACAACGCTCCGGTAGGGTTCCAGTGTTACAATAATATATTGACAATATTTGATCATGCTACATGGGACGTCAGGTTTACAATCTAAGCCACGGTGAATGAGTTCCATGATCCCTCCACGAATTTCTTCACACCCTTGAACCATCTCTTATCACCAGCTTGGGCCTTAAACAAGTACAAGTTCCCGTCCTTCACGGTAGCGGCGATCAACTGATGCTTGCCTCCTTCGTCTCCATCAGCAGTACGTGTGAGTACGCTGAGCTTGTAGTAAGGTCTTCCATTCACCTCCATTGAGTTAGCTTCAAGTACTGCTGCAGTTGCAACGGCGTTGTTCTCAAAGCCTCCCTCGGAAGCGGTCTTACCACTGTAAGCTTGCTTTCCGAAAAGGTAAGAGACCTGCGGTTGCGAGTACAAGAAAGTACTGAGTGTACGCTTCGGAAATTGCATTGGCGAAGAGCCCTACCACATGAGCTGTCGGAATTTGCTTCCAGCCAAGAACGTATGCAGAGGGACCACACCATGCTAGACCTATCAGGATCTAAAACATTTCCCTGTCATAGGCCTAATTGCTAGAGTGGCAAGTGTGTCAAGCGTAGGTACGACAAAGGAATAAAAATGTAGGATTGTCAATTGACCAAGCACAAGTCTGGGTATCTCAGCGGCAAACCTCATCCAAGAATTTCTCTGGAGGGCCGTATTCAGTGATGCTTCCCTTGGTTGCAGGGGTAATGGACACAAACAAGTTAGTGGTGGAATCAAAGTTGTCCTCATATCTCAACACTGTTCCGGGAAACTCTTTTTCCTTGCTGGGGTTCCACTTAGACGGAATCTCCAGAGAGAATCCATTGCCGCTGTAGGGGTTGAAGCCAGTGGATTGCTTGGGAGCACCGAACACATTGGCTGCCGACCAAAAGCAGTCACTTGTGCAGTCAATTTTCCATGCAAATCAATACAAGCGTACGCTCATGCACACAAACCTATGTACATGAAATTACCATCAATGCGAAGCAACATCGACACCACTTTCCATTCGATCTAAGGCAAAAACCATTACCACACGGATCATCACTTACCACTTTCACCGTAGGCAGCATTGGCGGGTGCGATCCTGGCTCCAGCGGCAACGACACCGGCAACCAAAGCAAGCGCCGTTCGACGACTCACGATCTCACTCTCTTCACCCTTAGAGGCTCTCACGGTGACACTCCTGGATGCAACGGGGCCGACGCAGGGAGCAGCAACGGTGACGGACGCACCAGAGACGCCACTTTTGGCTGAAGCCAGGGAGGCACCTTTGACGACAAGTCCAGACGACACAGCCGCTATGCACGCCATTGCTGCGATGCCTATGTCTAGCACTATTCCCCTCTCTATCTGCCTCTCTTTCTGTCACTCCCTCTCTTTCGAGCGAATGCTGTAGCTAAGCCAATAGATACGGAAAAGGCAATCGTTGCTTCAATGCGCAAAGGTAAGCGATCGAGAAGTGAAGATGAAGAAGGGACGAAGCCAAACGAATGGCTCCGGCGATCGCCATATCTGCAGTTTTATCCAAACCTTGTACCTCCATTGGCTGACACGCTCCTTGGCCCACCTGTTCTGGATTGCACCCCTTGACGTTGCTCTTCATGGTGGAGAATCCCATTCCATTTGTTTTTTGTATCTCCGTGATCGAGAGCCAAGTGTCCCGGTTGGATACAAGCGAATCAATTCCAAACTCCAATGAAAATTTGTTTGCATCCAATTGATTACGTAAGAATATTGAATGCCAACCAAATAGACAGTAATAGGAAAACTAAATTTTGTTTCACATTAGAATGCCTTCAGATTTTTAAAAATAAAAATAAAAATAACAAAACAGCGATAACTGTGATTCGAATCCAATAACTACGCAACAGTTCGAAAATTGCTCCCAGAGGACGAGAAATAAGGACCAAAGAACGAGTATCATGAGCTGTTCATTATCAACAAGTAACTTTTTGTTTTGACATCATCTTAACTCGAATTGAGCTGCACGTGATATATTTTTTTGAAAAAAAAAAGTGTCCAGATTTATCCTAAAGCTTCGACCTTCAATTGGTAATTTGGGCATTAGGTTTTGCTGACGTCACCCCAACTGCCAGCAGATTACCCTGTGCATGCAGAGACTCGTCACATAGCATGACAATCCCACTTCCTGATTCAAGACTCACCTGATTATATTCAAGGAAAAACGCACCACCTGGAAGTCCAAATTGGGCAGACCAACCCGAAAGAAAGGATTTTCACAAACGGTTAGAGCTGATGATGGTGACACCAGTGACGACGACTTAAATCTGAAGCCTTGGATTAGCTTCGAATTTCCTAGCACGGTGCACGGTTGTAAACATTGTAGTCCAGATTTACCGACCGTATCCCTGTTATTGTTACAGTTGGTACAATAATTCTCCATGGCTTCAACCTTCAGGTTAGCAACCACGAATTTCTAGTTGACAAGGATTTTTTTTGAGTCAGTTCGTTGCTTGTTCCTAGCATGTTACGAGTCGTCAACCGCAACACCAAGATTGCACTCCAGCAATACCTTCCACCAGCGCAATCAACTCACATAGAATAATTGAGTACCAAATCCAGAAATATAAACAAGCAATGAAGGTTAACTGAAACACAACCAAAGCCTTACGCATCTCTTAAAAATATGAAATACATGGAGTGACGCAAATAAAGAATCCTGCAATTCATCAACTACGGCGGGTAAGAATCTAACATAAACAGTAAATATGAGTTTGCTGGCACAGGCGATCGCCAAAACTTTATTGTTTACCTGAATCTGACGGAAAACACCTCAAGATTACCCAAACCAAGTCGCACTCGATCGGGGCCTTCTGAGAAAAAGCACGCATAAAAGAACTCTACATACCTTAACGGTGGAGCAAGGCATACTATCCTATGCAAGTTTCACTAATTATAAGTTTTCGGCAGCCACTGTGTGTGATAACAAGCCACTCAGTAATGTACAGTACTACAGTCCTCGAAGCTCTCACCTACGCAAACATCACTAACCCAGGTTTGTAACTCCCCATGAGCAATATAGATAAACCGATTGCTTCATCAGTATCTCTCGACTTTACTCTTACAATCACCAAGATAAAAGTCAGCGTACACGAGCCCTCTGTAGTCACAATAATATATCATCTACAGACACAACAAAATGCAAACAGCAGATGAAGTAAATAACTATCAGGAAAGAAATGTCCAAAAAGGGACAATCAACCTTACCCCAGAAAGAGTTTGTCCCTAACCACAGCATCATACTAAGCTCCATGTAAGTGAGCCACGGTACTAGAAGTGAGGAGGGAAGTTGGGATTTTCTTTCCTACTCCACTACTTGACAGATATATGTTGGTATGGACATGTTAACACTCCATTTTCTTGCAGTATCATGGCACCCTAAAGGCTAGCATTGAATGCTTGCAGAGAGGCGCAGAATCGACAAAGCGTTTGGCCATGACCACGACCTAGACAGGAGCCATGCTATGGTGGAGAGATGAGTTAGAATTCATCAGATTAGTTTGTGTGGTAGGTTCTGGTTGCTCCTGCTTTGGCCTGGTACCAAAGCCAGACATGAAGGGCTCTCTGCTTTGCAGAGGAGCCCTAGCATCATCGAAACTGGGATGCCCAATAGATGCCGCGAGGCTTACTGCAGTGGCGGCAAGAGGGCCCTGTTCCCTAGCTCCCTGTACCCTGGGACCCAGACCAACACTCATTCCCAATTCCACGTCCCCAGATCCCCTGTTCCACCTAGAGGCGCTATCCTCAGGAGGTTGCCCAAAGCTGTTACCAAAGCTAATACCTTGGTCTTGTAATGACCTAGCTGTTGCAGCAACAGGGGCTGCAGTCTGCATTGCCACGTCATGTCCAACATTACGAGCAGCAGGTACATCATGATTGTGCTTCCCTTCGTAGGTAGTAATCACCGCCTTCGGGTCGTTAGAGGCTCTCTCAACATGCTTCCGGACCGGACAACCCACATTTGTGCACTTATAGTAGCTCCTACAGGTCATGGCAACAGTTCAATGTCAAGACGTCAGGACTTCAACATCATGAACAGGAACTTCTTTTGGAAAATATCAATTTAGCTAGGTCCTTAAATTAAACGCCCAACTTTGACCTTAAAAGACAGCAGTCATGCCTCCCACCAAAACGACAGTGAACAGTTTTTAAATAATTCCAACATGCACAAGAACAACAGAGAGAAGAAAGAAGTAAAAAATGAGAATGAGAAAGTGTTAAGATACAACAGGTTAACTACTAGCGAGACTGACATCCGAAGGGGAACATACCGAGGATGAGGATTCCCCTTCACCACTTTCTGGCCATATTTGCGCCAGCGGTAACCATCGTCCAGAATATCAACGTCACTTGTAGTTTGCACAACTACCCGCGGTTCCCGAATCATTCTTGGAGGAGGTACTGGATCCTTAGACTTCTTGTCAGTTTTCCTAAACCCAAAATAGCAACAAACATGTAAGCGCACAAAATAAACCACAACCAAGATAAATATGTGCTAAAATGGAATAACCATGTTGTAATTAGCCAAAGAGAATTCAAGTGAATACGAGTGAGTACAAAACCATATTGTACAACTGCGTAGATAACATTAGACACACAAGACAAAAGACAGGGGGAACATATAGCTCGAAAGTACTGGACAGAAACCCCATCGCTCAAGAAGAAATTCACTAATTTTGAAATTTTCTAAAATCAGCTTCTCACCCTCACAGACAAAATTTGCATCACAACTGAAGCATGACAACGTGACAAAGAGTATCTGCAGTAATTCCATTATTAGTTCATCTGAAAAGATACCCTGCTGCCCGCTACAACACGGCACAGCACCACGGAATGAAGAATTCAATTTCTGGTGAAATAAACAAGCCTAAAGTACCTGCGCTTCGAGTCAGGCTCATCGTCATCGCCATCCTCAGTGGAATGTTTACTCCCTGCGCCACCCTCGTCGTCGCTAGTCGAAGGGGAGGACGGGTCAGTGGTACCAGTTGCCCCTGATGCAGATCCTGTCCGTCCTTTAGACACATCTGAACTATCACGCTCCGTATTTCCACCTTCATTCTTTACCATAGAAGCAAATCCAGCTCCTGGAATAACTATTAAAAATATGTGTAAGCCTTCTAACACAAAATATTACGGGATACATACATTATCATTAAACGCCCTACAAGCGGTTCGGGTTGTAAAGCAACACAGGAATCATTGGCTGAGTCGACAAAGCGTTTGGCCATGGCCATAACCATGACAGAGCCATACCATGGTAGAGAGATAAGCTAGGATTCGTCTGATTAATTTGTATCATAGGTTCAGATCTGAACTATCATTGCTTTGGTCTGGTACCTAAGCTAGAAATGAAGGGCTGCCTACTTTGCAAAGCAGCTCTCGTAGAATCGAAACTTCATTGGCAAGAGAAGACACTCAAAACTTCCAAGACAATAGTGACAAATTTACTATCCATTGTCTGAAGACGAGAGAGAGAGACAGAGACAGAGAGTGGGGGGAGGGGGGATAAAATTAGACCTAGTCTGGAACTGGAATAGACGAAGTGTAAGTACCTCGATCGCAATTTTTATTTTTTTATTTTTTTATCAAGATGCGGGCTAAAAAATTCTGAATTTGGAATTACACAGGCGGATCATGTGATGTTCCTCACCTGAACTGTCAGATATAAGGTGAGCGCCACTCAATGCTAAACGTCGAGTTGGTTGAGGCTTGGGATGGTTGTGGTCACCCTTATAAATAATTTCCGTCACTTGTCCATCACGTGAACGCTCTACCTTTTTCTTCATGAGACAGTTGATATGTGTGCACTTGTAGTAGCTTCGTGGGTACTCGCTGCCCTTTACATGCTTTTGCCCATACTTTCGCCAATTGTATCCATCCTCTGATGGTCTATCAACGATCGTCGACACGGCAGCAGGAGGTGCCTGCTGCTCAGATCCTTGAGAACTATGAGAAGCAGTAGGTTGAGAAGGCTGAGAATCAATTGCTGTCGACTGGGATTGCAAAACAACTCGAGCTTGCAAGGGCTGGACATCTAAGGTCACAGGAACAGCAACTGGAAATGCTGTGGAAGAAGGAGCTTGCGACAGAAAGGGAGGTGCTGGCGGCACAACTGATGCAGAAAGAGTCGAGGAGGAGGTCACAGGCTGCGGCTGCTGTGTAGGGGCTTCATGCAATTGAGGAATAGCAACAGGTTGATGCTGTGACGTCCCACCGAAGGTTGACTGCTTTGGTGTAGTCAAGTCAGTAACGAAGGAAATTAATCTCAATGATATTTCATTTTAGGGCAGTATAAAAACAACAACCCACACTTCAACCGTTATACTAGAAATGCACAAGAAAGGCCTGCAATTCCTGTACCGATGCCTCAAAACCAAAACCCAGGTGGAGCTGAAAATGTACCACAAGAAACTAAAAGACTGTTTATCCAATCCTTGTTATCAAAGAAAAATTGTGATGAGAAAATAGAAAACTACGTAACTAACAACGGAGAAGCTGAGGTTTGATTGACAACATTAAGAGGAGGAAATTGACAACGATACGAAGGTGTGTTACACCAAATACTGAAGAGTGTCACCAGAATTTACAAATAAGAATTTGACATGCAGAACGACCGATGGGATTCAGCAGATATGTAAGCGCAACCTTACCAAGCTAGGCGGTAGTGGAGGGCGCGGAACTGAATGTAAAAATGGCTTGAAAACAAAAGTCTGCTCGGCACTACGCTCCTTGGAAACTTCTCCCACTTTGGCAACAGGTCGGGTGAGTGAGCCGTTGAAAAAAGGAGGCATAGGATATGTGCCAGTTGTCGGAGATGGCTCTGACTGAAGACCAGTTTACCAGAAGAGAAAGACAAAGAGAAAAAATAAAAATAAAAACACTGCTGCTGTAGGAACGACAAGAAATAGGAACGAAAAAAAGATTTTTAAAAAAAAAGATAAAACAAAAACAAATAAAAAAGGAGGTGGAGCACCATTAGAAGATACAACCCTAAGAAACATGAAGTTGCTGAATTTGAAGTAAATAGAATAAATCCTCCCAGCAGTAGTCACGTCCTGGGGATTGTACCTGAGACGTAGACACGAGAACTGGAGAAGAATCGAACAGAGTAGTGGGACTGAGACCAGGGGGAATAGTGAGATATGCCCCTTGGCGAGGTATAGGAATGCGCGACGGCTGCAGAACCTTGAACCGGTTATTATTAGGAGGTCGACCAGAGCTGGGATGACCTCCACTATCAGCGACTTTATTAGCTGCTCCGCGAGCTGCGAGCCTCTCCGCAAAGCTCCCCCCTGCAGTCCCTGGCGAGGAGCCTCTGCCATCAGTAGCTTCTGCTTGGTGGTTTCCAGTACCACCATTAGTTCCAGACTCCATGGACGTGGATCTGCCATCTACCGATCTGTCTACACTATCAGGGGTGGGCGAGTTGATTGCTCCTGCCAACAAATGCGAAAATGACCTGTTTTCTTCCGTTCCACCCTCCTGGTCCGCCAAGAACCCTGAAACCATCGACGACATAGAACCCTCCAACGGTTTAAAACCTATCCCATGTTCCCCTGCTCCAACAACCATCGTGGCTTGCGGTCTTGAAGGAGTTGGCTTGCGGAGTATTCCATTACCTCCTCCTCCTCCTCCCGATTCTGCTCCACCCTGTTCCCCTTCCATCGGTAGTCCACTAATCTACTGGATTCCGACAAAAACCCTAAATATCCCTCACACGCCACTACCTCACACTCCCTTCACCATTTCCGCTACCTACTCACACACATCACCATTAACCAAGTTCTCCAAGCTCTGGCCCCAGTCATCAGATCCCTTTCCAGCTCCATCACAAACCCAAGACCCAACAACAGAAACTACACTGTTGTTGGCTATACTCTCCAGAAACCACGCTGGGCCTCCCCTAAATGTTCCACCTTCATGCCACAACCATCTTAGGGTACAGAATATCCCAAACCCAACACTCCCATGGCTCCACCTTCAGTACTACCGACACAGCAGCTGCTAAAAATTTACGAAATTCACACTCTCGTGCTATCAAATCAGTCGCAATCTGTTGCCAACAAACCGAAAAGTTTGTACCTGAAGCGATTCCTCGATGCCCCAAATTCAGGAGGGGATTCAGAAGAGCTGAAAGCGAAGCTGCAAATGTCTGCCCGAAACCAGCCTGACTCGAGAATCGAAACACGTCGGGATAGGAAATCGCAGCTCGAGTGTACAGATCGGTATCCACAGCCCAGCCCACCACGCAACCATCGCAACGAGTGGCAATCACAACCCATCCGTCGTCCTTGGTGGATGTTCTGTGAGCCCTCCACCCTGCAGGCCTGCGCGCCCCAGCAAGGCACAGCAGGCCAAGCAAGCCACTGACACTCCACCAGTGCTTCCTCCCTTCATCCTTCCCATCATTCATCCACTCCACCCCCAACCCCCCCTCATTCATCCGCGGCCATTTCGAGGATGCACCTAAACGGGTTTCATTCATCCACTGGGTTTCCGCCGCCTGCCTGCACAGGTTTCGAGGGATGATGACTCCTGCGACCACATTAGTTCCTCGGTTCCAACGTTCATCCATCGGAGTGTGTGTGTGTTTCCGCTCATCTGCATCTCCGCTCCCCAGGCTGCGCCAGCTCCGTGTTCATCTTCATCCCCGTATTTCATCGGTCTTCCGGTTGCCGCTTGGAGGTTGGGCGGCACTAAGGACGGGGAGCCTCGGTCATTCTCTTTCCACCTTGGCGGAGAAGAGGAGTAAGGGAACATGTCCTCACCTGGTAAATGGCTCTCCTCCTCATATGTGGGTGGGTCCATGTTGCCTCCAGGTTGATGCTGGTTCATGTCCCCCTACAGCCTTATGTATCTCCAGGGACTGAAGGTTCCTCAAGCCCTCATGTCTAAAGTCAGGTGGGTGTGTGGGTGGATGGATGATGGATGAAACTATTGACTTTGATTGATGAATGAAACCCATGCTGTGTGTGTGTTTGTGTGCATGCTGACATGGATTTGGGTATGAGGATTTTTGGATGCCTGTGGAATAAGGGAAGGCGATGGAGATGTTTCCTCAGGGGAACCCCAACAAAATGGTTGTAAATTATAAATAATTATATGATAGAAAATTAATCACCGCCAGAGCGTTGATGGGCCTCACCCCCAATTTGTTTTTTGAGTATTGGTGGTGCCACTTCTCTTGGTTAATGATATTTTGATAATCCCCCAGCGCCCTCTACTACTTGCTTTAAAAAATATGACATTTTATTTGTTTTTTCATTTTGTAATGATTCATTGCAATCCATTGCTATTTTTAAGCTCTATCTTATAATGTTTATTATACTATCTACAAAGGAGGTTCTAGTTTCTGTGACGAATCAAACAACTCCTTACGGCCTTGGTTATGCATGAATTGTAGTGTGGTCATTTTCTAATATTATTTAAAGTCATTTGTTACCATTTCGGCATTTCGATATTTTAAAATTATGGCAGATTGGTAGAGCTTAATCATTGAAGAATATTTGCGATTCGTTTAACTTACATTCATAAAAGTCAAACACTATCAAAAAGCATGCTTTGATGTACAGTTTTAAACAGTTTGTAGAAAATTAATGTCCAGGCAGAAAAGCACACGTCTATTGATCATGGATATTTTTAGAATAATGTATGGCTCTATTCAACCAATTTATGGAGGAAAAATCATGCTTCCGTGGTTAATTGAAAGCATAAATTCCTTGAATTATTCTGGAAGCTGAAAACTCATTAAAATAAAAGCAGACAGTTGTAAAAACAAAATACAGACATTGAAACTTCCCTCAAATTGTTCCATTTAAAAAAATAAAAACACAAACAAACAAACCAACCAACAAACAAACAAAATGACAAACAAAATGACAATTTGTTTCAAAATTATAAATATTGTAAATAATGTTTATTAATACATGAGTATACTTCTAATTTACTCATCATGATAATATATAATATATATATATATATATATATAATTTTTATTTTGCATAAGACTCACCATTATCAGTTAAACTCATTATAATTTAAAACTTCACAAGTCATATGTACTATATCCAGTTAACAAATATGTAGGATTTTATTGATTTATTTTAAATGTTGTAATTCAAGCTGTATTTCTGCAGGGTAGAAGTGTAATTATTAGAAAGAACTAACCACAGTATTTTACAAGTTTTTTTAGATTATATTTCTATTGTTATCCTAATTTTCCAACTTCCATAATTGTTTGATTACAATAATAATACATCATGTGTAGACAAAAACCAATCAATAAAATGGTTATTTTTGTAACACAATAAATGTTTCTACATCTACACTTTCAGTACCAAAAATTAGGACATCTTATATAGTTTTTTTGGATAAAATTTAAAGATAGATATTGATAAAATTCAGGATTATTTATACAGATTTCGACACAAAAATCTTACAATTAGAACTATTTCTTTATTAATGTAGCAATACTCGTGTTTTTTTTCATGAAATTGAACATTTAATTTACTATTTATATTGTTGAATATTTTTGATGATCTATTATTAAAATAAGAAAATAGAAAATAGAACACCCTAGGGCTAAGAATCAATTTAGGAATTTGCTTTATTGCAAAGACAGGAATGTCAAGAAAACTGTAATAGCCATTTGATTGCAGACTAGTAGTACATCACACGTTAAAAAATATATATTTGCGTTCACAATACAAAAATTTACTTCAAATTTTAATGAAAAAATATGTGAAACGGTACAAATAAATGACCGAAGTAATCACGATCAATAAACATTTGCAACATGATTTGTTTATATAATTCTAACTTAAAAATGATTGATTCAACTAAACTTTATTTTTATTTTTATTTATTAAAAATATGAAAATAATTATAATGTTAGATTTTTAATAATCACATCAAAATCATACATGTTTATACCTTGAACATTATAAGTACAACTGTGAGTGAGATCTGAATTTACATAATAATCGGATTAATTTTTTATAAATGTAAAAAAATCAGGAATGGGAGTAAAATGATAGCTGGAACCAAGTTTTTAGATTCACACAGAAAAGATTTAAATTGCATGAATGACAATATTTTTTAAAAATAGATGCAAAAATTACTCTTTGATAATATTTACACACCAATAAATATTTATAGACACACACACACACACATGTGAACAGATAACGAAAGCTTCACTCTCAACTGTCAAAAAGCAAACCCATGCGGGGCGCCTTGATCGAACTCAAACTGGAACCTTCAAGAAAAGGAGAGGGGTGGACTGCTACAGTGAGGGAACTGTTAATAGCTGGAGGGAATGGAATTGGGGGAATTCCTGACTGAGCTGGGCTGGACTATTCAGTACTGGGTTGGACTGCACTGGACTGGATTCCATTGTGGGCCTGTGGTGCTGCTCATGCTTCTTAATGGCCCTGCATCACTTGCTCGCTCACTCACTCACTCACTCACTCTTTCACTCACTCATTCACTCACACCGGGGGTCTCGACAGTGCTACCGCAGCTGTGGCGTTTGCTCGATGATCCCCCCCCCCCCATTCAGGTTAGCATCCTGCATGTTGTCAGGATCATGTTGGAACTCCTTTCCATGACAACTTTACAGTTCACAGTTCCTCGACTGGGGAGTTGACCTAATTGGGAAGAGCGAGTTCTGCATGGTGAAGTCTTTCTATGATGGTCGGTATCTTTACTTCAGTGGAACATCAACAGGACATTCAGAAAACCTGTACAGCAACAGGTCAGTGGATCCTTTTGCAGGCTGGATCTTGGACGAATTTGGCTCTAAGAGGTGGCAGTTTGATGCCGGAGACCCCCTGATCCATTTTGCTAGATGCCATGCAGTTGAAGTGCTTGCACTACATGAACATTTTATTCACCTGTTCATTGGGGTTCTACTGAAACCTATACCATCCTTATTTATTGACAATAATACTAATACCGTCTGCTCAGGTACTGAGAAACTGGACGAGGCTTTTCCCATTCGTGAACGAAAAGGGCTCTCCCCCCAGGAAAAGGTTGAAGACGGACCTCCATCCAGCCTGTGTGGGGTGCACCTCGTCCCAGAAGAAGTAGGTCGAAATTGTGTTTGCGCTGCATAAAGTGTATAGCGGCGTTCGTGTGGCTTTGTCAACATCACCACACAAGTTAAAGGACCCGGATCCTTTGCAGCAAGCCTTCAAACCAGAGGTAAATTCTGCACACGAAACACGTGAGAGATAAGGGTATGTTGGAATCTTTAGAACGGGGTTAAATCATGTAAATGAAGGAGTTGCAGCCGTGACTCACATCGCGGCCATCTTGATGGGTTATCTCATCAAAATTTGCTGCTTAAGCATGATTTCTAGCAAGACCAGGAGGTGCGGAGGGACCGCGAGGGTGGCTTACGGGTTTGGATCTGGTTTAACAGTATTTCTCTGAAGGCAAGCTCGTTATCTAGAATTATCAAATTCGCTGCTGCTAATATGGACGAACTGTTGGTCAGCATTGCCTTCAGCAAAGAATTGTGCGTCGTCGAAACTACATTGGCAACCTCTAAGCATGAAAGGCTGCCCGTAAATGCCGACACACCGGGCAAGCAGCCCAGTGGTGGGAGTGTAGATACGGCGAAATTTCTGAATCCCATGTTGTACAATGTTTTCAAGTCTTCAACTAGTTGATTCACAACCGCTACGATAAAAATGCCAATTTCCTAGATGAACAGGTATAACAACTCAAACACGTTAGAGATCGATCCCGCAGAGAGGGTTGCAGAACATACAGGGCACAAAACCAATGGATATTTGTCTCCAACAATCAGCTTACTTTGACCCGGGGATTCAAGAACACGACGACTAAGTATACTACTGATTTGCATGAATATATGGAATGCGAGATTACTGCAAGTCCAATGACTTGGCTGTTCCTCAGAAATGCATAGTAATCGTTGCCAGAGATTGTGAACAAAATGAGCGACTCTTTGTACACCGTTTCCGAATAAACTCCTGAATTGATCACTGTCTTCAACTGAGCGATCTGATCTCGGGTCTTCGTAAATCCTAAATTGTCTTTGACTCCACTTCCTCCCACGGCGAAGTTCATGCCATCTTCCTTCCGGGTCGACGGCCGCTCTTCGTAAAGTATGTAAGGGCGTGGGTGAAGACCTATGTAGTCAGCTGGAGCGGTCATCATTCCAATGCTTGAGCATACTTGTCAAACAATTCGACAAGGGTAAAACATTCCACTGGCAAATCAAATGATGCAACGATTCACTAGATCCAACACTAGATGATTGTAGTCAAAAGAAAGGGGACAAGAGAATACGAATTACCAAGAATATCAGAGAATACTTGACCATCACAGAATCGTCCTGTCGGAACTGCAGGGTTGGTCAGGCCATAAGGATTGATCCATGCCTGATTCACAGGCCCTACGGGTGTTCTGGTAAAGTTTTTAGGGTCGCGGTTCCCGATGTCAAGATAAGAATCCCCAAAACTGAAGATTTCCTTGAATCTGATGCCATTCACCTCAATGGCTGGGACTGCAGCATAATCCATAAATTTTCCACATGTGGCAGTGGAAATGAATTCCAGAGATTCCAAAGTTTTGGAGGTTATGGATTAACTTCAACAAACCCTTCTATTATCACAAAATACATTGGAGCTACGGTTATCTTCATAAGTATCACAAAAAAACTTGAAGGCTCTCTCACAATTGCATTCAGCCAGTCCACAGAATTAAGTCAAGTCCTCACATATTCTAGTGGTTTTGTGATTATAACATGGACACTGTAGGAATGTGAAGGTAACCGACCAGGATGACAACAGAGTAGCAGCAATAGTACTGCTGCTACGAATGTTCGAAGCGTTGTAAGCTGCAACTGATATGCAGCCGGGTGGTGCAACTTGAAGAACTCCATGGTGGTATTGTCGGTCGTGATTGCTCCAAAACTCAGATTACATCAATATATGGTGTAGAGGCTCAGGTCAGCTAAGCCTACACATGAATGCCTCTTCATACATACTGCAACTGAGGTCTAGCGCTGGAATAAAGGATTCGGCCTCATCGGAGCTAATAAGTAGTATGGGTTATGAAGATCTGTTAGCACTCTAGCAAGTATCAAGGTGCCCCCATCTATGCACGATGTCAAAAGCTGGCTTCTTAAAGTGACCTGGGTCATGAAGATGGATCTAATCGAAATATATCTAAGAACAATGATCTCTCATAAATGCATTCCTGCTCAAAGTACACTGATCATGGCCACCTACAGAACCTGGTAAACGGTTTTTTAGCCTAATTTGTTTGGTTTGGCAGACATCAGTATAACTAGCTACGTCACGTGCAGAAGTATTGGTGTGTAACGCTCTCAGCTATAAAACTTAAGTTTATCATTGGGGAAGAACTAAAGCACGAGCATATTTAATAGATGAAGATGGATTCCGTTTAGTTGAATGGACCTGATCAAATTGCAAGGAATCTAAACTTTACACAGTCGTGAACTTGCAAACGTGCCACATAGAGTCCAGACGTTGACATCCAAAAGTGTGACGGATTGGTGTGTTGGATGAATACGTTCATTCGACTTACTACATTTGAATGTAAATCAATACTACCAGTATATAAGCTAATGTACAGTTAAGAGTAATCATTCTTTACAGTGGGTTTGTAATTCCGCTAGCACAGAGTTTAGCTAATAGTGCTGCTGTGACTTAAAGGCGGTTTCTGTATATATGAATCAAGAGCATATGCTGAGTAATTGTAGTCACATTCTGTGTTGTGGGTTTCTGTGAGTGAATGTGTTGAACTTCAATAGTGCGTCACAGCCATGAACGAATATACCATCTTGTACTAGAGCTAGCACGACGAATTTGCAGAGAGCGTCCAATCGACTTTCTGGATTGTTTGCAGGAGATTTTACATCACAGACGCTGTGAAAATATCGTATCAGCTGTGATGTACATTTTCTCCGAATACTGTGGTGAGCATTTTTTCCGAATTCTTGTCTTCCAAAACTTGTTCAAGTAGATGATTAACAAACGTTAGGAACTCTCTCATTGTGAGTATATTCTTCCATGTTGTATAACACACTTCCTTCCTTCCTCGCTTCCTTCTCTGTCACCACCTTCCTTCCTTCCCAGCTTCCTTCTCTGTCACCATATCCCCTCAAACATAATCAAGAGAACAACACAACCACAAAACTTAGGGTAATAAGCTGGTTATTGAAGAAACACAATAAGCAAGATACAAGTAAGTAGAAATCAACAAGGTTAGATACAAGAGAAGTGTGGAATGAGATACCTCTCACTTCTAACACCTTTTACTTATAGGTAGAGGTTACATCCATTTTGGCTAGTATTCATCTTACTTTCATCTAACTAAATCCTAGATTTCTCTTAACTTAGCTGCCACCTATAATCCTAGCTGCTACGTTGGTAACTTTCCTTCATCCTTTTGCTGCCCTTTGACCATTAGCAACTTATCTAAGATAATATCTTTTACCTTTTAATTTATCCTCTATTTACTTTAACACTCCTACTTTGCTATTGATTAAAGGCTAATAAACTTAATCCCTTTATCAATTTGTAATGTCTATCCTTTACCAATGCTTTTGTGAGTAAATCAACAAGCATGTCTTTCGTTGCACAATATTTCATGTCAAGTACTCCCATCTCAATCTTCTCCTATATGAAGTGATGTTGAATGTCAATGTATTTTGTCCTTGAATGATGCTTTGGATTCTTGGCAAAAGCAAGACATCCTTGATTGTCACACTTCATTCGAGTTGCTTCCAATTGCAGAAGTCCAATGTCTTCTAAAACTTGTTTTAGCCATATTGCCTCTATTACACCATGACTTACTGCCATGTATTCCGCCTCCATTGTAGACCTTGCAATTGTTAGTTGTCTATTACAATTCCATGAAATTGCTCCTACTCCAACAAAGAATACATATCTCGTTGTTGATCTTCTATCATTTGCATCTCTAGCCCAATCTACATCACAATATCTATGCAATGTAATACTATCACCTCCAAGACATAATTTGAAGTTCAAAGTGCCTTTTAAGTACATCAAGATCCTCGTAATGATTGCCCAATGAATTAGTCCAGCTTTTAACATGTGTTGACTTACAACACTCACCGCATTTACAAGATCCACCCTTGTACCAACCATTGCATACATAAGTGAGCCTACTGCTGCCTTGTATGGAACATCTTTTATTTCTTCTTCAACTTCAGCAAATTCCTCATCTGTAAGCTTCATCAACTTCAAATTTGCCTCCAAAGGTGTTCCAATGGACTTGCACTCCTCCATGTTGAACTGTTTTAACACTTCTTTAATGTACTTCTTTTGGCTCAATGTAATGATCTTCTTAGCTCAATCTCTCACAAATTCTACTCCTAAGCAATAGTGGAGCTCTCCCAAATCACTCATTTCAAATTCTTTTGCTAACTTTGCCTTCAACCAATCCATCTTTTTCAAAGTATTGGTCAAAATGATCATATCATCAACATAAAGAATAACAATCAGCAAGAAGATTTTTGATTGCATCACATACATGGAATGATCAGCCTAATTCTTCACAAATCCCTCATTCACAAAGAATGTGTTGATACGTTGGTACCATGCCATTGATGATTGCTTGAGTCCATACAAGGATTTCTTCAACTTACACACAAGATGTTATTTGCCTTCTTCAACAAATCCTTGAGGTTGATCTATGTAAATGTCTTCTTCCAATTCTCCATTCAAGAAAGCAGTCTTCACATCCATTTGGTGTATCTCCAAGTCCATTGCTGCTACAATGGTTTTAATGGTGGTGAATTTGGCCATGGGAGCAAATGTCTCATTGAAATCAACACCAGCAACTTGTGAGTAGCCTTTGGCAACCAATCTTACCTTATACCTCACAATATTATCCATTGCATCCTTTTTGGTTCTAAATACCCACTTACAACCAATTGAAGCTCGATTTGGTGGAAGTTGAGTCAATTTCCATGTTCCATTGTCCATGACTGATTTTTACTCTTCTTCTATAGTATTCTCCCACTTCATAGCATCCGTAGACTTCATTGCATCACATAAACTCAACGGATCAGTAAGAAGTACAACATTGGCATGTTTTTTACTTACTTGAGGAAAAATGTGGTCCTTCCACTATTCACCACGTTGTTTTCTATCTCTCAAAGAATATCTCCTTTCATTTGAAGAAGACTCAACTTGTTGCACTCCATGGTCACCTCCAACCTTCTTTACTTTTGAAGATAGTCTTTTTTCATTCAAAGATTCATAATCCTCATCACCATCATCATCAACATCTTCATGCTCTTCATTGCTGGTTTTAGCAATTGTAGAGGCCTTCTTGTCCACCTTCTTTGCTTCTACATCTTCATTTCTACCTTTACAACCATCATTGTCTTTGTCTTCTTCCTTCTTTGCTGAATTTGAAGATGTGTCCACAAACATACCATTACTTCTACTTAGACACATCTCTAAGTGCTCACAAGCACTCTTGTGTTCCAAAAACTCAACATCACGACTTTTGATGATCTTTTTAGTCTTCAAACACATGAGCCTATAAACCTTTGTACCTTCACAATATCCAACAAGCACACATTTTGTACCTTTTGCATCAAATTTTAATCTCATACAATCTAGTATCTTTGCATATGCTATGCATCGAAAGGTCTTCATATGAAAAACACAAGGTTTTCTCCCACTTCAAGCTTCTTCTGGTGTCATTGATATAAGTGCACTTATAGGACAACTATTTCTTGTGTACACTGCATTCACTACTACTTCCATCCAAAACTCATGTCTACGGTGTTCTACATGAAGCATATTCCTTGCCATCTCTACAATGGTTTGATTTGCTCTTTTAGCAATTCCATTTTGTTGTGGAGTGTAAGGAATGGAGGTTGTCTTGCAATACCATGCATCTTCAAGAAATCATTGAATTGCTTTGACATATACTCACTTCCATTGTCTATATGCAATACCTTGATATTACATTCACATTGCTTCTCCACAAGTGCTTTAAACTCCTTAAACCTTATGAAATATTCATTCTTTGCTTTGAGGATCAAAATCCATACTTTTCTTGAAAAGTCATCAATGAATGTGACAAAATACCTTGCACCTCTTATTGATGGCATCTTCATAGGTCCACAATCATCTGAATGGACAATCTCCAATAACTTGGTTGCACATGTTGCAATTCGACTTGGAAATGAGGCCATTTGTTGTTTGCCTTGAATACAACCTTCACAAGCAAGTGTTATAGCATTGTGGCTTATATGACTAAGATCTAAGCTACTTACCATGGATTGGAGCTCCTTCATGCTCTTGGCATTCAAATGACCAAGGCATGGATGCCAAATACCAAACTTGTCTTGATCTTGAGGAAATTTAGCAAATGCCGCCACTTCAACTCCATTCCAATCTTGTACTTGATGAAGTAGAGGTTGCCATCTCTAAAGCCCTTTGTAATATGATCTCCTTTCAATATCTTTACAAAACACCCATTCTTATCAAATTGCACTTTACAACCATGTAAAACAAGTTTATTCATCGAGAGGAGGTTTTTCTTCATCTTTGGCACATATGAGATGTCCTTCAATCTGATCCTCTTGGTTTGGCCTTTTACAACAATCTCTATAAAAATGGAGCCCATTCCAATAGCTTATACTATACCATTGTCTCCCATGAGGATATTTGTTGTTGAAATCTCTTCATAAGTATCAAAGAAACACTTGTATGGAGTCATATATTTGGTGGCACCAGAATCAATAATCCACTTGGACATGGCAGCCATGGAAGTGCCTTCACTTGCCATGAATGCATAATCATCACCTCCATATTCATCACGAGCATTGTTTGCACTTTTTCTATCTCCTTTCTTAGCTTTGTAGCAATTTCGAGCAAAGTGACTTGGTTTTCCACAAATGAAGTAAGTTCTTACATTGCCACGTTGGTTGAGATGACTCTCCTTGCCTTGCCTTGAAAAGAGAGCCGAATCCTCACTTTGGGGATCTTTTTCTTTTCTCTTGGTCACTTTATGGGCAAGTCTTGCCG